CTGTGAGCAAGGCTAATTTGTTTTCTTCCTTTTCAATTTGGATGAACTTTCTTTCTTTTGCCTAACTGCTCTATTCTCTGTATTATAAAATTGCTCCATACTAAAAAATTCTATACAAAGTATTAATTCTACCAGTGGATTTTATACCTTGAAATGTTTTCTTCTGCACATTAGTGTTTTCTTTCAGACTGAAGAACTCCCCTTAGCTTTTCTTGCAAGATGGGTCCGCTTTTGTGTTTAGGAAAGACTGTATCTCTCCTTCATATTTGAGTGACGATTTTGCTGGATACAATATTCTTAGATGACAGTTTTTTTTTGAAAATGTTGTTCCAATCCCTCCTGGCCTGTTGAGAAGGCTGTTGCCAGATGACTTGGAGCTCCTTTATATGCTATTTGCTTCTTATCTTTTGCTGTTTTAAGGACCTTCTCTTTGTCCTTGGCCTTTAGCATTTGATTACTACATGCCCTTAGGTAGTCTTATTTGGGGGTTGAATCTGTTCGGTGTTAAAAGACCTTCCTGTACCTGGATATTTATATCTTTCTCAAGTTTTGAAAAGTTTTCAGTTATTATTTCTTTGAATAAGCTTTCTACCTCTCGTTCAGCTCCCTCTTGAACATCAATGGCTCTTAGATTTGGTCTTCTGAGGTAGATATCTATATCTTGTAGCCAGTCATTTTCATTCTCTTTTTTCCCTCCTCTGACTGTGTATTTTCAAATAGCTGGTCTTTGAGCTCACCGATTTTTTTCCTCTGCTTAGTTCATTCTGCTGTTGAGAGCCTCAAAAGACTTTTCCAGTTCAGCAAATGTATTTATCAGTTCCAATATTTTATTTTTTGTTTTGAAAAAGTATTCCAGTATCTGTCAAATTTCTTTATGGCTTTTCTGTATTATCTTAGAGGTCAATGAGTTTTCTTAAAATTGTTATTCTGAAGTCTTGGTCAGAGAGCTCACAAACTGCTGTTTTGTTAGGGTTAGTTTTGGGATTTTTTTTTTTTTTTTTTTGTTTCTTAAGTAGTAAAGGTTGATTGATATTTTTTTTTTTTTTTTTTTTTGACGGAGTCTCATTCTGCCACCCAGGTTGGAGAGTGCAGTGGGGCGATCTTGGCTCACTGCACTCTCCGCCTCCCAGGTTCAAGTGATTCTCCCGCCTCACCCTCTCAAGTAGCTGGGATTATAGGCATGCATCACCACGCTTAGCAAATTTTTTTTGTTTGTATTTTCAGTAGAGAGATAGGGTTTCACCACGTTGGCCAGGATGGTCTTGAACTCCTGACCTCAGGTAATCCGCCCACCTCAGCCTCCCAAAGTGCTGGGATTACAGGCTTGAGCCACCGTGCTGGGCCAGGATTTTTGCTTTGTCCTTTTGAGAAGGTCATGATTCCCTGTTTGCTGTTGTTTCTTGTGGGTCTTTCCCATGTCTTTGCACTGGAAGAATTAGTTATTTATTCCAGTTTTCTCTGTCCAGCTTGTTTTGGTTTTTATTGCATGTATTTGCTGACAAATCTTCACTGCTATGTCGCTACCTACTTTTCAGCTCTAGGTGGCGCCGTAAGCCCAGGTTTCCCTCAGTTCTAGTAAATGTTTGGAGCACTGAATGTCCCAAATGGATTACACTGGCAGTGTGGGAAGGCAGCCGAGGTAGGGGTTTGTGCTTACAGGACCTAGGAAATATACCTCCTGCAGCTTAGTACTGCTGAACAGCCACTCTGATTTGGTGTCTCCTTTGGCCAAGATGCAGAGTGAAGTTCCTGGGGCTGGGAATAATAGTCGCTGCTGGTCTTCAGTGATATTTTCCCTTCAGGCAGTCATGATGCCACCTGTGGGTTAAGGCAAGGACAGGTCTCCTGCCAAGGAACCCAAGAAGGTGGGGACGATGGTTGACCACTTCAATTTTACTTCTTCCAGTGTAGAAATTATGAGGTGGCGGAGATTTTCTGTGTGGGCATAAGGGCAGGGCAGAAGCATCATGAAAGTGAAAGTCCGATTCTCCTACTGGAGTTTTTCCACTTCTCTGTGGCCCCAGGAACTATTTCATCCTCATACTTGGGCTCTGGGTTGTTGCTGGTGTCGATCTCGGTGCTGTATATTTGTTTTTTTTGTTTTCTGTTGGTGGGGAATGAAGTCAGTATGCTTCTACATTGCCATTTTGGAACCAGAAGTCCCTAGTTTTGGAGTTCAAATTTAGGCATCATACCATTTTGAGTTAAATTTTGAGATGAGTGGAAGGTCTGTGTCTAGATTCACTTTTTTTTTTTTTGCTATATGTGACTGTCCTGTTATTCCGGCACCATTTGTTGAAAAGAGTATCTTTTTTCAATGGTATTCCCTTTGCTCCTTTGCCAAAGATCATATGACTTTTTCTATATGGGTCTATTTTTTGGACTCTCTGTCTCACTGATCTATTTGTCTGTTCTTCCGCCAATACCATACTGTCTAATTTACTGCAGATTTATGTTTTGAAGTCTAGGTGGTGTCAGTCCTCCAAATTTGTTCTTCTCCTTCAATACTATGTTGACTATTCTGGGTCTTCTACCACCCCGTATAAACTTTAGATAGTTGGAGTTCATATGCACCAAATAACTTGCTGGGATTTTGATGGGAACTGTCCATAATCTATAGATCAAGCTGGGAAGAACTAACATCTTGAGAATACAGAGTCTTCTTATGCATGATTATGAAATCTCCATTTATGTAATTCTTTGATTCTTTCATCAGCATTTTGTAGTTTTCCTCATATAGATCTTGTAATAGGTTTTGTTACATTTATGCCTGAATATTTTTGGTGGAATGCTAATGTAAATGGTACTTTGTTTTCGATTGTTGTGTTTATGTAAATACAAACACAATGGCAGTGTATTTTAATTTGAAATCCCACTTGTTTTGTGCTATGTGGAAAGCAATTAATTTTTGCATATTAATCATGTATACAGCAATCCAGCTATAATTGCTTATCAGTTTTTTGATTGATTCTTCCAGATTTTCTACAGACCATCATGTCATCTATGAACAAAAATAGTGTTATTTTTTCTTTCCCTATCTTTATAGCTTTTATTTCTTTTTCCTTTCTTACTGCACTAGCTAGGACTTCCAGTATAATGTTAAAATGTCAGTGTTGATGTTTATATTTCATCCTGAATGAAGTACTCTATGTTTTGTCATAATTAAGTCAAATGAAATCCTTTTCTTTTATATTCCATAATTCTATTACTGTTCAAAATCATGGCATATTTTTGTTTGCTTCCAAATTGAGATTTCTTATATAATATCAAAATTTTTCTTAGATGTTTTGTTTTAGTTTTTTTTTTTTTCTTACTGGCAGGATTCTATGGCTTCTTATCTATGTCTTTCATATTCTGAAGCTTCTATTCTATATATTACATGAAATTCATGTTACTTTTCTTAAAGGAGGGGAGTTCTCCAATTTCCTATTCTAATTTTGGAGCAATTGCTTTCCAAGCACGTGGGAAAGCTATCATAGAATCTTTCTTCTTTAGAGTATCTAAAGAAGTATATTTCACCATTTCGTATATCTCATATTTCTCTTTTGCTTGATTACTACCCTTATCTTGATGGAGTACATCCTGAGTTAAGTTCCTTAAAAAAGGTATGTGCTAGGCAAAAGGTGAGAATTCTTACATATATAAAAATTATTTTGCCCTAACACCTGCCTGACAGTTTAGATGGGTAAAGAATTCTAGGGTTCTGGTTCTATGCGGTATACTAAGCATATATAAACTATTCTTCCTCCTGAAACCATAATGAAATGATAAAGTAACACAAAAGGAAATAAATCTACAAAACTGATAAGGAGAACAGAAGAGAAAAAGAATGAAAAAACTGAAAAGGGAAAATTGACAAGAGATTTAAAGAACATCTCCCTAAAACTGTGTAACAAACTGCCCAGACAGTGTTAGGACTCTTAAGGTAGGTATGATATCCAGCTCACCCACAAAAGGCTCTCCTCATTCAATGGCTGAGAGGCAGGAAGGCTTAATTAGCCAGTTCCCACTCATACAGGGAGAATAGAAAACTCGAGGTGAAAACACACTGACAGACAGTATCAGAGGAAACTAAATAACAGCTATTAGAAATAAATGGCTGGGCACGGTAGCTCAATTAAAGCTTACCAAATATCCCAGCACCATGGCAGGCTGAGGCAGCCGGATCATGAGGTCAAGAGATCGAGACCATCCCCTGGCCAACATGGTGAAACCCCATTTCTACTACAAATACAAAAATTAGCTGGGCATGGTGGCGCACGCCTGTAGTCCCAGCTACTGGGTAAGTTGAGGTAGGAGAATTGCTTGAACCCGGGAGGCAGAGGTTGCAGTGAGCTGAGATTGCGCCACTGCACTCCAGACTGGCGACAGAACGAGACTCCATCTCAAAAAACAAAACAAAACAAAAAAGATCTTTACTTTGAATATAAAAGGATTAAATATCATCTGACATATGAAGAAAACAAAAGTCTGAATGAGAAAGAGCAAAATAAACACAATGCCTGATTTGGGCTAAAAAACAGAGAAGTAAAGATTATACTTAAACCAATCATTTAGCCTGTAAATCAACCAACCAAAGTAACCTCAGAGATTTTTATTTTCAATAATGGTCAGTTCCTTTCTTTTTAGATAATTTAATAACACTGTAGATAAGTCACAATCAGAACTCACAATAATCTTGAACTAAATTAATATAATCTAGCATAGGCTTCCATGGCAGCCTTGGCTATACGTTTGTTCCTCTATATTCGGTACTGCATGAAGAAAAGAACTGTAACAAAAGAGGACACCTTTGGATGTTGGTATTTTTAATATCAAACAATCCTGGCTCATTTGAGAATCTAGTGAACATAGGCATTCAAGGAAATTTATTTCAAATTACCTAGAAATGCAAATTTAAGTAACAACATTTAAATATATGGTACTGTCAAGGTAAAATTACAAAACAGCAACCCAAAACAGGAGATAAATGTATCTCACAAAACAGTCAGCTGACTTACCCTGGGAAATTGTATTGAAAAGTGCGGGATCAATGGCAGGTATAGTCTGTGGAGTAGGTTGGATAGTATTACTTGCTACACCTGCAAATCAGAAAAGCATAAATGAGTATAAAAGTATTACACTTTTTAATTATACAGTAGGGTAGCACTTAAAAATCATGAGGCAATTTCATTACTTTATTTTCTTGAAACATCAATGGATTCTAATTGGATATACTTATTTGATGTTGGAGGGTATCAAGTGTTTACATATGTGTATGGGTTATGCTTTCCTAATATATATTTTGTCTAATGCTTCAGATTACTTCTCAATTAAAGCTTACCAAATTCTGTAGAATTAACAGACTTCCTACTTTTCAATTTCTCAGCCAATTTAATTTGGTGATAAAGTAGGACAAAATTCTAATTTAGTTTAACTTAGAAGATGAATCCAGTTTCATCACTGTGCATGAAATTCCAAATTAATATTTGTAATTCTCTAGTTTACACATTTTAGGATATTTTTATATATCCTAACAATTATCCAATAAATAACAGTTTTGACTTTGTTAGAATGTTTCAAAATCGTCATATTAATGAGTAACTTAGCATTCTTGATTAATGGTAAGGAATATACTAAAGTTGAAGATTATTTATTAATCATCTAAAAAACTAACAAAAAGTGTTAAAAGTTCCCCCCCCCCCCAAAAAAAAGGACTGAAATGATTCTATCAGCAGGAAAATAAAATGAGGAAAAGTTGATTATGGTAAATCAATGGAGTTAAACAGTCTTTCAAAATGGATTGTTTGCCAAACTAATACACTGAATTCGAATAGGCAATTTGTAGAAAGGGTAAAGTGGGAAAAATACTGGAATAAGAAAAAGGAAACAGAGAAAAAGGTTAAATAAAGAGGAAGTTTCTAGGGGAATGGATATGTATCCACTGAGAGTTCTAGAATAATGGTTTCACAAAAGATGGCTGAAGTTCTAAAATTTTCTAAAGGTCTAAAGTTTTTCTGGTATGAAGTTCCAAAGTTCTTCTGGTGTGAAGTTTTAACTTTTAAGATTTTTCTCATTCCTAACCTAAGAGAAAAAATGGTTTAAATATACATTATTTACCTCACTTAATTATGCTTAGGGACAAACTCGCTCCGTATTTATACCCTTTGGAACTATTAAAAGCCATACAAATCTTGTTTTTTAACTAAAAATTGAAAAATTTTAAAGTACATAGGGATACAGATGAACAGTGAAGTACAAATTTTATATAGTACAAAAAAATATAAAGGAGAAAGCCTGCCTCTCCTACTCCAAAGCACTTTAGGGCTAGCACCAGTTTCTATGACACCTTTCCACCCACCTACAAATAACTGTGTGTCCAATCCAATCCACATATATGTCAATGCTATTCTCTGCTGAGAAATTTGTGTACTTGTCTAAACCAAAATCTTCCAGAAGGCATACTTCGTGTGCGTGTTTTGCAAATGGTAGTAAGTTCTGCATACTATACTGTTTTATGCATTTTTTTCACTTAATGTGTCCTAGCAATAATTCCAGATTAATACATATAAGTTGTGCTGTTTTTAATGGTTAGTGTCCCATTCTCTGCAATGCATAGTTTATAAAGCAATCCATTACTGATGGATATTTAAGTTTTAATTTCCAATCTTTTGCTATTACAAATAATGCTGCAGTAAATATTCTTATATACTGTGTATATGAATACATTTATAGAAAACTGTATAAAATATGAGGAGACAGACCAATTTTAGGCTGATCTATTCAATGACTATTTTTTGCTTGATTTTGATAAATACTCACCGAATGTATTTAAATTATAAACGTCTGACAATTTTCTCCATAAAAGTTGCCAAACACTGAAAGGCACATAAATATATATTATTTTAAAAATGCTAGAATGTAAAATCTGAGATGGATCTTCAGAGACTAGTCGTGTCTTGTGCTTTGAAACAGGTGTACCTATAGCTTATGTAGATTACATGTATTTTTCATATACATGTTTATAAACAAGGTAAATCTACCACACTTTAACGGTCCAATCTATAGATCAATGCCATTCGTTGCTAAGTAATTTGCATTTCTGCCTAAATTAAAATACTCCAAACAAATCTCTAAATAGAGAAGGCTATCCAGAAAGTGTGATTAAACAGACTTCTGAAAGAACATAACATTTGGAGAGACACAGAAAAAGAGAGAAAGACATGTTACCTACATTACCTATGAGGAACAGCATAAGCAAAGAATGAGTGAAACCTTAATCATGAGAAATAGTGTTGACAGAAATGCGTAGGCCAGAGTATCAACAATAGGATATCAAAGCTTACAGAAGAATGCAAACATGGTACTTCTGACACAAGTACACAGCCTATATTTTGATCTATGAAGTGAGTTGCATTTTACAATGAAAGGCTAGCTTTGATCAAAAAATAACTTTATTATTTAATCTAGCTTTATTACTAAAATCTTCTCCTGTAATATGAACTATAAAAAGCTTATGTTTCCTGAGAAAGAAAAAAACACAATGCATCAACTACATGTGATATTTGTGCAGTGGTGAAAGCACAAAAAGCAAACATTGCGCCTGTTTAAACAATCACTATCCCTGTCCTCATTCCACCCCCTTTGCTTTTTTGTGGAAGAACTAAAAACTGCAAATTAGTACATACTATTCTTTTCAGCTATCTTAAGGATTTCCCTTTGATAAAAGTGCATCCTGGACCTTTATATGAGAGAAAATAAATCATTCTTAAAGTGAGTAAGAAGGGAAACACTTGCTATTATTTATACATTAAAAACATTATTTTGTTTTTTATTAGGCAACTATGAACTTCTTTTTTTTTACCGTTTCAAATATAATAGAAAAAAAATCTGGGGCTAAAAGGAGATTTCAACATCTCAAACCAATCTTAAGGGGAAATATACTATCAGAAAAGTAGGTTTTGAGAGGATTTGAATTCCTTGGAGGAAGGAACATAGAAGGCAGGTGGCCAAAACATGAAGTCAAAAAAACTTGGATTCAAATCCTGGTTCTGTCATTACCGGGTATGTTTGTTTTCTTAGAATAACTGCTTAGTCTCTTGAGAGTTTGTGAATTAAAGACAGTAACATATAATATAGTTGTGCGAGAATAAGTGTGGAAATTAGCTATGATAATCATTTGACTGGTAAGGCTACAAGAGTGTATAAAATATGTTTGGATCTCATTCTATAAAAGTTTTAAGTTTTTTAGTTTTATTCTTCGCACTAAGGAACAAAAGAGAAAACAAGAGGCTCATGCTAGAGTTAACTGGATCAAATGGAACTGTTTATGACAGAAAACTTTCTAATGGAAAACCACCTAATATTTATCTTTATGTCATGACTATTCTAGCCAGGAGATACATTGTGTATTAGTTTGAACATATAAGACTACCAATACTGTATCGTTTTTGTTACACAAAACTAGCAATTTCATATGGATCCATCTACTATAGCCTCCTACTAAAAGTGTTTTCTCTTTCGTATACTCATAGAGTTTGCCTATATATAAAGTATACATTGATATGCCTATGCCACAACTCTGCCTGGAGATATACTGTCTAAAACAAAACTTTTTGGACAGTCTTTCTATAAGGTTAATATCCTACCCCCAGTTGTGATACTTCTCTTGATTTGCATAATAATTTTAAGTGATCATTATCTTGCCATTAAATACCTTGTCTCTCCTTGGCACAGAAACAGGAAGGAAGAGGAAAAAAAAGAGGGAAAGGAGGCTAATTTGCTGAACACTGATTTTGTGATAGGCCTACTACTAGTCCATTTTTATAGTTTTTCCCTTTTAATAATTAAAATAACCATGAGAAGTATGATTAATTTCATATTCGAAAGAGGAAAAATTAAGGTCATGAGAAGTTAAATATCAGCTGAGTTTATGCTTTAGCACGGGGTAGAAACAAATAACCAATATGATTTGCCTCCTAAATGCATTTTATTTCCTCTTGGCTCCTCTATAGAATGCTTGTGTCTGGGACTCTTGATCGGATTTAAACCTTCAAGTATAATTTGAACAGTATTCATCTGAGACAAAGAGATCTAAGTAGCTGGTTTCACTTACATTACTCTACACTGGAAATAACGAATATTTCTAAACATAACAAAATAATAGTGTTCCAAGAAATTTTACTTCCAAAATAAATGCAAATAGGTTTGTCTAATAATGTCATCACACAGGCCATAAAATATTGAAATGTCAGGGTAAAATATGCTGAATGAAGACACAAAAAGAGATCAGTGCTAAAATTATCATTTCATCAATAATCTTAAAGAAAATGTTAGCAATATTTTTGCAGATAATATAAACTTGAAAGTTTAAAATAGGAGGAAAGACACTAATCATACTTGATGTTACGATGGTCAAAATAGAAAACTTGCATATAATGTAATTCACGTAAAATAACTTACAAGGTTTGGGTAAAATAAGGCTGACAAATGAAAGTCAATAAAGTAACAGTGTGTTGCATAATAGGAACAGTAGAAATCAGGGCTCGAAGGATGACTATCATTCCATTCATTAAGTATTTTAAAGCATTTACATAGTTTAGACCATAAGTCACCTGGGATAAAAGTAAATTTTTAAGAAAAGTTTCTGAAAAAATTAAATTAAATGTAAAATTTAAATTATAGTTGCAAGTGTCCTACTTGGAGATAAAGGTGACACTTTGTCAACAATGCAATTAAAGGGAAGAGTAACTGAAATTTTGTCAAAGTGTCTTTACTGACCCTGACTTAACTACTAAGGACTAATTTTGTCAGATTTTTAAAAATAAAAACATACACATACAGCACTGATTTATTCAAAGATAGGTCTCTCTTTCCTGTTAGTTTTTTAAAGTGTCACATTTGTAAGGTTAAAAAAAAAAAATAACCCAAATCCCTCCTTTCACTTGTCTTATGATTTCATTGTTACTGAGATTTTATGCCTTAAAGCCTACTCCCTATCACGGGCAGAGGCATAGTCCCAAGGGAATGAAACAAACCTAGGTATCACAGTGAGACCCTAACTGACACATCCTATAATCAACCCCCCACTCACCTCTGAGCCATTCTAAAACAACAGTGAGGGGAAAAGAAAGGGAAGAGAAGAAAAAGAAAAACAGCATATATATGAAAAGCATAGAAACTAATCTTATTAATAAAATATAAGGTTAATAGCAATCAATGCACATAATACTTGTCATTTCTCAAATAACTAGAACACAACTTTTATTAAAACTTTAATTAAAATAATGTTTCTTGTGGGTTCAAATGGAATTCAAGGAACTTGTCATGTTTCACGACCATCATTATGAGGCACATATATGATAAGAAATGCAGTTCTTATTTATAAAAGGGGAATTAAATAAATCATTCAGTTATAGTTTCCTACCTGTGCTGTGAGGCACTTCTGCTGGTGTATTAGCTGGAGCGTGTGCACCCGGAGGAATCTGTATTCCAGTATAGTTGCCTGATGGCATGTTGCTTGGGTCATAAGTTGAAGATGATGATGGCTGAGTTGGCTGAGTGGGCAGAGAGGCTGCTCCAGCATCTTCATTTTCTTCAACATCTATCAGATCATATATACACAATGTTACACTAGGTATTTTGAAATACAAATGCTAAGTATTCTTATTTCACTATACACATGACAAATGGAATCTTTAAATGCAATTCTATTTAATGCAGTGGAGAAGCAGGCTCTCTATTCTTAAAACAATATTTTTAATTTTTTTATTTTCTTAAAAAATGTAAACGCACCTGACAATATGATTATCACTTCTTTCAGGTTAATATTTTCTAATTCTATAAAATCTCTGCATATAGTGTGTGTGCATGTGTATATATATGTTTATATATATACACAAACATATATATATTTTTTTTTTGAGACGGAGTCTTGCTCTGTTGCCCAGGCTGGAGTGCAGTGACATGATCTGAGCTCACTGCAAGCTCCACCTCCTGGGTTCACACCATTCTCCTGCCTCAGGCTCCTAAGTAGCTGGGACTACAGGGGCCCACCACCATGCCCAGCTATTTTTATTTTTAGTAGAGACGGGCTTTCACCGTGTTAGCTAGGATGGTCTCGATCTCCGGACCTCATGATCTGCTTGCCTTGGCCTCCCAAAGTGCTGGGATTAAAGATGTGAGCCACCGCGCCTAACCTATATTTTTCTTTAAAATAAACTTTCTTTAAACTTATGAAGACTCAAGGATATTTCTGGCAAAACATGTCACATTTATGCTACCCAATAAGAACTCCATTTTCTGACAGCTGACTTTTACTTAAGATTTACTGTGTAGTAGCTACTAAATGATTGTGAGTTGTTCAATGCATTTAGCTAATAAACAAAAACAGGAATAAAATTTTGCATTTAGCTATGTAGAAAGAAATGAGATATTTCATTTTGAAAAGTCCTGAAATGTAAACTTTTAAAATATACTGTATCATGAGCCGAATTTGAAAACTACCTTGAAAAACTGAACTTTGAGTATAAAATGACAATCAGCCACTATTGGTAATCATAATAACTTAAAATAAAAGCAAGCTAGAGCTACAGGTTCATCAAAGAGAATAGATCTTATTGTTTCCTATCACATCTTTAAATAACTTTTTTGTCTGATTATAAACAGGTTATTCAACGTAGTTAATTTCATAGGAAAAAAAGTTAAATTTACTTACTAATCTGAGATGAGCATTTTATCAAGCAGCCTTGTGGATGTATTTATACTTTACACACATTAACATGACTTTCCCCAATACTGGAGAACTCTAACATTTATACATTCTGAGAAAGAAAAAAGCTCCACAACATAAAAGCACTAGAGCACGACTAAAAGTTGGTAGAAATGAGAGTAAGGGTAAGAGGAAATCTTACCAGGTAACATTTGATTTTATGTGGCTTTTCATCTGAGGGCACTCAATAGTCTACACAAAAGAAAGAGTTGCCAAAAAGTGAGCCATGAAATGTTTGTATGAATCCCAACTAAATACCTACAAGTTCCTGAATTATGCACACTCAGGTAAGACTCTAGGGGGCCCTGGAGAAAAGCAACAACTTACAGCTGAAAGTGGGGGACAAAGTTTGAGTTCTGGCAAGTCAATGGTCTGCTTGAACAAGAATCAAGACTTTGCAGAGAAAGACAACAGGCTGCAGAGGAGCTTCAACATGTTATCAACAACAGAAGTTATTAAAAATTAGGGAAGAAAAGGAAAATGTAAAAAAAGGAGTCTACAAAAAAGACCTCAAAATGACCCTGATACTGAAATCAGCAGAAAAGCACTTTAAGGCAACTATGATAAATTTGTTCAAGGCCATAAAGAAAAACATAGACATAACAAATGAAAGAGAAAAAACTAACCGGAGGGGGGAAAAATTGTAAGAGGAGAAAAAAAACAGATGGGATTAACAGAAAGGAAATGGCAAAATAAGTTTAAATCTAGCTATAGCAATTACATCAAATGTAAATGAACTAAACACTACTTCTCACACAGGGGCTGAGAGTCAGAATAAAAAAGTGCCTTTATGCTTTTTGCAGGAAAAGTACTTTAAAACACAAAGACCTAGATTTGTTTAAACTAAAAGGATGAAAATTGACATACCATGCGAATATCCAGTAGACAAAAGCTGGTGACTAATTTTAATAATAAACAAACAGAATCAATGACAAGGAATATTAGCTGAGATAAAAAGGACCATTTGATAATGATAAAAAAAGTCACATAAATATCAAGCTGACAAAAGCTGGAGTGGTAAACTTTAAAATGAGGACAAACAGAATTAATAACCTCGAATATCAGCAAGATATAGTGGGATGTTCCATAATAATAAAAAGGTTAGTTCATAAAAAATAACTATAAAAGTACATGTGCCTAATATAATAACAGAGTCTGAAAATGAAACAAATTGACAGAACTAGTAAAACCACTATAGTTGGAGACTTAACACAGAACATCATAACCAATAACTGCAGAATACATTCTTTTCAACTGCACATAGGACATTCACCAAGACAGATCATATGCTGGGCCATAAAATAAATCTTGGTAAACTACAAAATACCGAAATCTTTTATAGTATGTTCTCCGACTAAAATGGAACTGAATTAGAAATCAGTAAGATATCTAGAAACACCTCCAACATTCTGAAATTAATATATTTATATATAATCCATTACTCAAAGAAGAAATCACAAAGAAAACTGTAATTATGGTGAACTGAGTGATACCAAAATTTGCAGAATGTCACTAAAAACCAATGCTTAGAGGGAAACTGATAGATTTAAATTCTTCTATCAGAAAAGAAAGATTTAAAGATCAAAGATCCACATTTCCTCCCTAAGAAGCTAAATAAAACAAAAGCAAATTAAACTCCAAGTGTGGTGCAGGAAAAAATAAAAGGAATAGAAAAGAAAAAAGAAAAAAATTTACTAAGTACTTGTTGAAATAATAAAAAAAAAAATTAAAACATCTCTGTCAAGAGGTTGGGGGGAAAAAAGAGGAAACAGCTATTATGAATATGACAAATGAAGGAGGAGATATCAAATACATCCTACAGACATTAAAAGGATAGTTAAGACAATAAGAAAATATTATGCCAATAAACGGCGCTACCTCAGGGAAATAAACAAACCACTTGAAGATACAAAATACCATAACTCACCCAAAAAGAGATGATCTGAATAGTCCTAAATCTATTGGGAAAATTGAATTCATGGTTAAAAACCCTCCTACAAAGAAAATGCAGGGCCTAAATGGAATAAGCAGTGAATTATATCAAACATTCAAGTAAGAAAAAATACCAATCTTATGCAAACACTTTCAGAAAACAGAAGGGATTACTTTCACCTTGTTTTATGAGGCCAGTGTAATCCTGATACCAAACCTCACAAATACTGAAATGTAGACATACAAATTCTTAATATCAGAATCAAATCCAGTCATATAATACAAGGCCTCATCATGACTAAGCTTACCAATGAGTGCAGGGTTGGTTCAACATTTGAAAAATCAATCAATGTAACTCATATTAACAGAAGAAAAAAAGTCCTATGACAATTTCAATAAGTGCATAAAAAGCACTTGACAAAATTCAATATTTATGACAAAACTTCTCAGCACCCTAGAAATAAAGAAAATTTCTCAGTATTGCATAGGGCAAAAAAACCAAACAAAACAATGGACATATTTATTGCCCCTGGCACAATAGGCAGGAAAAAGAAATGAGGATTGGAAAGGAAGAAGCAAAACTGTCTCTCCTTGCAGATGACATAATTATCTACATACAAACTCTCAATGAATTTACAAAGTAATTATCAGAATCAACAGGTAAATTTAGCAAGGTTGCAAGATAAAAGATTATACAAAAATCAATTGTAATTTATATTAGAAGCAAACGACTGGAAAACTATATTATAAAATTAATTTCATTTACAAGAGAATGAAAGGACACAAAATACTTGAATTTAACGAAAGAAGTACAAAACCTCTACTCCAAAAAATCTAAAATACCGCTGAAAGAAATTACAGAAAGCTTAAATAAATGGAAAGATATATTATGTTCATGTACTGAAAGATAATTAATTCTCCCTAAGTTTAATACTAATCATAATCCCAGTAGGCATTTTTTCTAAAAAAGAGAAATTGAAAATCTAATTCTAAAATTTATGTGGACACTCAAAGGACAGAATAGTTAAGATGAAGGAAAAAGAAAAGACTGAGTTACTCAGCAGATGGGTCAGAGTAATACACCCAAATGAGGAACGTGTGGACTCCAAAATCCAAACAGGCCCACTAGGTACCGTACCTCTATTCTTGGTTGTAGGAGTGGCTAGATAGAACAATATCACCTTAGTATGAATATCTTGACATGCCCCATATTACCAGAACTTTAGAAATTTCACTGAGGTTCCTGAATTTTAGTCAAATTGATTTCCCATTCTCTGAGAAACAAATGTCTTACCACTAAGTCCAGATTAGTTGCTCACTAGGTCCAATCAGGATAATATCATCAATATAATGGACCAGTGTAATATCTTGTGGAAGGATAAGAAGGCTATTAAGATCCCTGCAAACTAAATTGTGACATAGAGCTGGAGAGTTGATACACCCCAGAGGTAGGACAGTGAAGGTGTACTGGGGCCGTGCCAGCTGAAAGCAAACTGCTTCTAGTGAACCTTATGGACAGCTATGAAGAAAAAGGCCAGATCAACAGCTGTATACTGGGTACCAAAGAATGTTAATTTGCTCAAGTAATGAAACCACAACTGGTGCAGAAGCTGCAACAGCAGTCACATAAAGGGACATAATAAAGAATAATGGGTAATGAATTATAATCACTGAATATAAATTCATGAGCCCATATTGATGTAAATAATTAAATGAATAAACACACACATTTATTTATGTATAGACTGGAAAGTCCATCCTCATGGTAGAGTGCCAACTAATTAAAACAAAAAGAATGATAAATCATCAACCCACGGGGTGAAGTTGCATAAAAAATATAGGATATTTACATAATATCAAAGTATCTTCCTTAAATTAAATAGCAAAGGGAAAAATAACTTTAATGGGGAATAACTCAGAAGACACCACATTACCCAAGTGATCACTTAACATCACCAATATTTCACCAAAATCGTATACTTCTAATGTAAGGCAGGGAGGACAAAACCTTATTTTGGGCTATTCTGCAAAAAATGCATAGGGTTAAACTAATTATGAGGCAACATCAGACAAATAAATTGAGGAACAGTTAACAAGTAATTGTACTTTTCAAAAACATCAAGGCAAAGAAACACCGGAAATCCTGAGGAGCTACTCCAGATTAAGGACACTAAAGAGATATGGCACCCAGAGGCGACGTATGATCTATTTGCACGAGGAAGAAAACTACAAAGGGTATTACTGAGTCAACTGTTGAAATCTGAATACAGATGGAGATCAGTTGATACACTGAATAAATACTATACTTCTCAATTTTGATAAGTACACTGTAGTAAAAAGAATGCCACTATTCTTAGGAAACACAGAAGTATTCAGGAGTAAAAGAGCATATCTCTAATTTACTAACAAAGACTTCTATATATATAATATGGAAAATAAATAAATATATATATAGAAAATAAATACATATATAGAAATATATATATATGTCTTGTGAAGCCATAAGTCATTTCTAAGGAGATACAGCTGAAAATCATGACATTAACACCAGATTATGATACCAAGTTGTATTTTAAAATTTTACACACACACACACACACACACACACACACACTATCTATCTATAAAATCACCTCATGTCCTTTCTTGCGTATGTGTGGTAGGGGGAGTGGGGAGAGACAAAAGGGGACAAGGGGTGAGAAAGAGAGAGAGACTATGAATCAATGAGAGAATGTTTAATTCGGGATCAAAGGCATATCGGAATTCTTTATATCATTCTGGCAACTTTCCAGTAAATTTGACATTGTATCAAAACAAATTTACCACATAAAATGAGTGGTTTCAATGATCTATTGTTCTTTTTTTATCATTAATTCTACAGATGCTCACCAACATATGATGGTGTTACATCCCAATAAACCCACTGTAAGTCAAAAATCTAAGTAAAAAATGCATTTAAAATACCTAACCTACTGAAGATCATAGCTTAGCCTGGCCTACATGAAACATGCTCAGAGCACTTACATTAGTGCAAAATCATCTAACACAAAGCCTTTATGTAATTTAATAAATACTGTACTGAAAGTGAAAAATGATGACTTTGTAAGGGTTCTCGAAGTACAGTTTCTATTGAATGGATATTGTTTCTATCTTCTTAAAGGTGAAAAAGTATACGTTAAACGATAAGTTGAAGCCTGTTTGTAATATCTATTAAAATGTCATGGTGATGTGGTATTCAGCTAGAACTTAATACACAGTACTGTCTTCAAAAGTATATACTCTTGTTCTTTAACTAAAGTACAATATCTATTATTTTATACTGATTTTACTAGAAATTCAATTCCAGAACAATAGAAAATTAGGTTTTTGTGAAATATACTACCTTTTACACTTAAGACTATGATGCAAAAGTTAATCCTAAAACACAACAGAATATAATTCTACACTCAGAAAAAGAAAACAAATCAAAGTCTTAAGCGTTTTCTCACACAAATTCAGATTTAATGACAGTATATCTTACAGATATATAGGCTGTCTTTGAGAAGATATTATTAGATGTTATGACATTAAGCCCTGATTATGACACCAGGTTATGTTTTAAGTTAATGAGTTGAAAAAGTATGCAGTGAACATATTCTTCTTTATATTGCAGAGGATTTATTATTAATATTCTATAGCTTACAATTTTCTACTATCCAGAAACTCCATCAAATCTATATGAAAATAACAGAAATGATAACTTCCATTTAAGCTGACTTTTGGAAAACAAAAACTATCTACATTTAATAATCTATTTGGTATTATTAATAGTAAGGGCCTACAATAACCATTTCAGAACAAAACAGATCAACGTGATAATCAAAATGCACATTTCCTACTTTCAAAGGCAAAATGTTAAAGAGTTTTTAAAGAAGTCACTGATATTGAAAGAAAGCCAAAAAAACCCCAAACTGACAATTTATTAGGTATTTCAATATACCTAAAATGAAACATCTAAAATAGTCCTGAGAAGTAAAACAGCTAGTTGGTTTCACAAAAAAATGTCTAGGGTGAATTTAAAGACCAGAGAAATCCACTGTTCCAAAGCATAGAAAAAGACCAGAAACATTCTGATTATATTTATGAAGTAAGCATAACATCATAACATTGATACCAAAAAGGAAAACTGTAGACCATTTTTAGTTATAAATGTCAATGTAAAAATCCTAAATGATATAGTAGTGAAATGAACCTATCAGTATAATAAAAAAAAAAAAAAAACATATCATCACCAAGTAGGGTTTATTACACAATGTAAAGTTGGTTCAATAATAGGCACATTATAATACTAGATCTAAACAGATTAATCAGATTGGGGTTAGCCAACTATGGCCAGTGGGCTGGTGGCCTGTTATTGTAAATAAAACTTTACTGGAACACAACCACACTCATTTGTTTACATATTATCTATGGCTCCTTCTGTACTATAACAGCAGAGCTAAACAGTTGCAACAAAGACAGTATCATTCATAAACTGAAAATATTTATTATCTGATCCTTTAAGAAAGTTTACTGATGCCTGCAATGGATAATTATCTTCACATATGCCTAAAAGTGTGTAGCAAAATGCAAGGATCGTTTGGAATTTTCTCAGTTCCAAGAACAGTGGTCATTCTCTTTATAACCATCTATTTACTACGTCTAATACATAAAAAACAAGTAAGTGAAAAAAGGTTTCCCTTTTCTATTATACATTAACTGAAAGGCCAAGTAAAATAATAAGACCTTTATTTTTTCATGATTAAAATTTGTAAAACGCACTATGTGATGGTAAAATTTTCCTGTACATATTAAGTTTAAAAAAAACCACAGCCAGGTGCAGAACAGCATGTATATTACCAGTTGTATGAAAAACGGGAGCATATATGTTTCTACTTGGTAGTAAACTCGTAAAGAATGATCTCTGTAAAGATACACAAAAAACCTAAAAACAATGCTTACTTGAGTTTTGGTAGGATCTGGGAAGATAGGAGATGTGGTAGACAGGAGAAATGCACTTCATATTTTTTATATACTCTATGATTTTTTTCGAACCATGTGAATGTATTACTAACTCCCCAAATAACCTACACAACTCAAAGAGATTTACAAAAACTTATACAGTATTCTTTGCAGTTTTAAAACATTTTATAAATTATAAATGGATTGCCTTTCCTATATAACAGGAATGAAATCTGATTAAAAGTAGGAGACAGCTAAGTCATTTTGTTGACATGGACAGGTATTACAAGTTTGACCTTTATTTCTATTTCTCACTGTCCCTAAGTTTATGATTTTATACTTAACTTTCATAGATTCTGGGCCTGATGAAAACAAAATTGTATTGCTCCCTCCAAAAACTCTGAATAATCTACTGAATAATTATGATTCTACTAAGTCCTTTTACTCAGAATAAATAAATACATACCATTATCTTCTTCAATTCCAACAGGGCCTGCTTGAGGAGTCTCCCCATTCTTTAAACAATTATGGATGTATGTTGCCTTCCATCTGGCATACTTCCTGTGTTTCACATTCTAAAAGAGAGCATTTTTATATCAACATTGGACTACAGTAAAGAAGTAAAAAGTAAACATTTATGATGATCTATATCATATTTCTGAGATAAAACCTATTTATGCAGATTACAGCTCTGAAAGAAACTGGCAACTCCCACCCAATTGCTAGAATCCACCAAGTATTTAAGGCTTGACAGAATTCATAAAAAGCTATTGTCCTCAAAACACATGCCCAGTTCCCTTTTATCATTTAACATTTCAGAAAGGATATGCAAGGTAAAAACAGGAGTGTCCTTCCAGCAAAATTTGTATCTCTTCTGCACAGGGGAGAAACAGGCTAAAGTAGAATTCTAAGACTAAACATAAAAATAACAATAGATTGAATTATTTTCACTAAAGACAAAAAAAAGACCTGTACAAATCAAGAAAAAAAAATTAAGATGATGTAGTGGTTAAAGCAAATGCTAGATTGACAGGTAAACCTGACTTTTTAACTAGTCACATGCTAGTTAACAGCTCTGAACCTCAGTCACACTGATTCTAAAAAGGGAAAAATAATACCTGATTGGGTTGTAAGAAGAACTGAAAAGATCATGAAAAACCTGTTAGTTGCCTCTTCTATGCCTTAAAACTAATTTTACATGATATGCTAATGTTACAGGATATAAGATTAAAATTTGCTTTAAAAAATATAAAAACCTCTTAGAATTTTGGATGTGCTAGTGATTTTTAGTTTATATTTTCAACTGACCTTTATAGTGGTATCGTTATAACTTGGGAACTTGTCAGAGATGCAGAATCTTCAAGCCCACCCCAGATCTACTGAACCTGATCTACAAGTGCCAGTCTGCACCTGCACTACAAGAACCCCAGGTGCACATCATAGTTTGAGAGCAAAATATGCACATTAGAGTTTGATATACGAATGTGGTTTTACTATCTGTAAAACAGGTCATATGTGGCCTCACATCTGTTCAATCTAAGTACTTTTGGGAAGCTGATGGCAGACAGATCACGATTAGGTCAGCAGGTTCGAGACCGCCTGGTACCACATAGTGAAACCACTTGTCTTTAACTGTACGACCAAATACAAAAATATAGCTCGGAGGTGGTAGCAGTGGATCAGAAGTGCCCTGTAATCCGCAGTGGCTAACATCAGGGAGGACTTGAACAGCCAGATGAGAAGTTCACTTAGATGTAACTCCCCATGGATTTGAGGCAGATAAGGTTAGGTGAGCTCGATGCATCTAATGAGCATGCTCTCTATCATCTCAGCCTGTCTTGGCAACAGAGCAATAGCATGATCACTGTCTCCAATAATACAAACAAAAAAAGAAGAAGTATGTAAACATAGAAAAAAAGAAAGAAATAGAGAGCTTAGACCGCAATTGACTTCATGCCGTTAATCCGGAAGCAATCTGGGAGGTTCCAATATAAAGAGGGTGAGATGGCCTGAGCTCGAGTGAGTTGTGATGACCAGCCTGGCCAAAAATGGTGAAACCCACTCTACTACAAAAAAATACAAGAAAATTAGCGGGCATGGTGCATAGGCACATGTAATCCAGCTACTCAAAGGAGGCAAATGAGGCACGAAGAGTCATGTGAAAGCCCAGCGAGGCAGACGTTTGTACAAGTGGCCAAGGAGGACTGCGCCAGCGCTGCACCAGCCCGCGGCTCCGGATCCTCCCTGCCAAAAAAAAAAAAAAGAAATAAGTAAGTTAACCTGTGTTCTGTCTGAGAAGATCTAGAAGGGCTAAATTGAATGCTGTACAAATGCAGCATGGTGGATCCACAATACATAGTGAGTACATTCCTAATAGATGTGAGACTACAGTATGCATGAGCTATCTCAGAGAGGATCGCTTGATAACAGTTAAAAACTATCACACATTGAAACTCCACCATAAAATGTACTTGAATATTGTATCAAATTCTCCTTCTTGATCAAAACTCCTCTTACATATTCAATTAAAAAATCAGGTTAATATAATAATACCAGGTGATTTTTCTTCCAGGATGTTCTGGAACATTCTTGCTCGCACTTCACAAATGAGTTTCCCAACAGAAGACTACCACATTTAAAGTCATTCACTTCGGTTTAACCATTCAGTTCACTCTGGGGCTGAGGGTCAAGAGTGTCTCTTGTCTTTTTCTGTGTTACTTAATATTCTCCAGCTAACACAAAAAGCGTGTAGGGAATCTGAATATGCTGTGTCTTTTACTGGTAGGGAGGCCAAGGTGATGTCAGCCTGTACGGCGGCACTCACTTAAGTTGTCAGGTTCATTTTGGAGGAGGTGT